CAAGCCACGGCCCATTCAGTGGTTTCTCAGATCCTCAGATAACCTCTTTCAGAAATTAGAACTTAGAACTTAGATATGGGAACCAATGGGTCCAGAGCTGAGCCATGGCCAGAACAGTAGAGTAAGTTTGTCCACAGATGACCCCTCCTGAGGGCTTCTCAAGCTGCTCTGGTTCCTGTCCTTGCTGAGGCCTACTTTTCAGCTTTCTGTGGACTCCACTAGACGGCCCTTAGCCTTCCCGCCTACTGAAAAAGCTAACTTTAGTGCATATTATTACTTACAATGCAACCATCTATGTCTGAGACAGATGAGTACACATCCCAACCAAGAGACAAGACTCATGAGATGTGAAGCTGAGAGCTATCTAACAGGAAAAGGCCGCTTAATAGTCCTAATGCCTAGCAGCATCAAGGGATGACACTCTGCCCCAGAGACTAGCTCACAGTCGATTCCCTTTCTCAGAAATCCTATAAGTAGTTCAAGATACACCACACTTTTGATACTTTCATATATAGTCTTACAACTCTTTTTGTGTTATTCTATTATATTGACTGATTGTTTATCTCATAATGTTACCTAATTCTCATTTGTAACCTTGATATTTCTCTCTCATATTGTCAATAAAGTCACCAACCAGACTTGGGAAGATCAGTTCCTGCCCCCAGGATCCATCCACTTTCCTACATCATCCTCAACCCACTCACACTGAATTCTGCCTCCACCACTTCACTAAACCTGAGTTACATTTCCATGTAAGTGTTTCTTAGATGCACAGAAGGATCTTTTAGAGCACTGATTCTTGATTAGGAAAGATTTTGTGCCCCTCCCATACACGGTGATTTTGCAGTAACTGCTTTGATTGTCTTAAGTTGGAGGGTGCTACTGGTATCTGGTGAGTAAAGACCAGGGATGCTGTTAAACATCCTACACAGAAAACCCCACGCAACAAAGAACTATCCATCCCAAAATGTCAATAACGCCAAGGTTGAGAAACTTTGCTTTAGGGCAAAGATAAGTCTTTGAAACATAACAAACACAATTCAAAATGGACAAAAAAACAGGAGTGTGTGTAGTTCAGTGGTAGAATGCACGTTTAGCATGCATGAGGTCCTGGGTTCAATCCCCAGTGCCTCCTTTTAAAAAAATTAAAAGCAAACAAACAAAAAAACCCAAAATGGGCAAAGAATTTGAATAGACATTTCTCCAAAGAAGATATACAAATGGCTAATGCACAGGAAAATCCCATACAACAAAGAATTAGCCATCCCAAAATGTCAGTAATGCCAAAGTTGAGAAATCTTGCTTTAGGGTAAAGATGGGTCTTTGAGACATATAACACAATTTAAAGTTGGTAAAGAATTTGAATAGATATTTCTCCAAAGAAGACATACAAATGGCCAATGAACACATTAAAAAATGCTCAACATTATTAGCCATTAGGGAAATGCAAATCAAAACCACAATGAAATACCACTTCACACCCACTAGAATGTCTATAATGTTTTAAAAATGGGAAATAAGTGTTGGTGAGTATATGGAGAAATCACACATTGCTCGAGAGAATGTAAAATGATGCAGCCTTTTTGGAAAATAATTTGGCAGTTCCTAAAAAAGTTAAAAGTAGAGTTGCCATTTGAACTGGCAATCCCACACCTAGGTATATATCCAAGAGAATTGAAAACATACGTCCACAAAACAATTGGTGCATGAATGTCATAGCAGCATCATTCACAACAACCAAGAAGTAGAAACAGCCCAAATGTCCACTGACTGATGAACGGAGAAACAAATGGTGACATAGCCATACAATGGAATATTACTTGGCCACAAATAAAGAATGGATTCTCAATACATGCTACAATATGATTGAACCTTGAAAACATATGCTAAGTAAAAGAAGCCAGGCACAAAAGACCACATATTGTGTGATTTCATGTATATGAAATGTCCAAAATAGGTAAATCCATATGACAGAAAGTAGATTAGTGGTTGCCTGGTGCCAGGGGTACTGGGAAGGAAGGGAGAGTGACTGCCAATGAGTTCGGAGTTTCTTTGGGGGTACGATGAAAGTGTTCTAAAATTAAATTATGTTGATGGTTGCATAACCCTGTGAATATACTAAAAACACTGACTTACATACTTTAAAATGTGAGTTATGTCTTTAAAAGAATGTCTCTTTCAGTGTCCAGAGTGCCTACCCCAAAGCAGGTGCTCATTAAACAATGAGCAATTGAACAATTAAACACCCGAGGCATGGAAGACAGAAAGATTTCCTTCCTGCTCTGATCACTATTATATTAACATTCCATGCCCTAAAAGAAACAGTAGAGATTCCCTTAAACAACCTCCAAGTTAAGGCGGGTGGGTATAGTTCAAGTGGTAGAGCACATGCTTAGCATACACAGAGACCCGGGTTCAATCCCCAGTACTTCCTCTAAAAATAAATAAGTAAGTAAACCTAATTATCTCCCCCCGAAAAAAGATAATTAAAATAAAATAAAGTAATTTTTAAAAAGCTGCAAGTTAACCAACCTACAGAATTTAGCAACGCTTTCTATTTCCTCTAAGAGTTCTAAGAGCACTCTGAAAGCTTCTTTTTAAGTAGATAAGCTACTCTTGAGAATGCCTGGACACTTTTGCTCCCACCAGTTGAGTTGTACATTTTCTAAGAGTTAACTGAATTTTTCCCCAAATCTGTTTATGCCCATTGCACTTGTGACTGTAATAATACAATTTAATGTTATATAAACTGATCAAATGATCAAAAAGAGGTTTTTTTAAAAAGTAACTAAGTTGTTTTGGAAAGACAAGATATAGCAGTCATGTGACTCTTAAAAATTGTGGCTGAAAAAAGATTGCGGTTGAATTAGGTGAGGACAAGACTACTGTAAAAGATAGGGGACAAAATCCCCCCAAATCTAGGATTCCATACTCAGAGGGTTTTGAAAGTATCTTGACTTTTCACTTCATTTAGAATAATCCAAAAATGGAAATCAGAAACATTGCATATGTGTATGCCTAATGAAGAAAAAGAAAACAGAGCTCTAATCAGTGGCTCAATTAAAGGATTGGCAAATTAATGATATATTTATTTTAAATGTAAATATAATGTTTAATGTATGTATGTATCATTTAAAAAAATAAGTCTCCATTATAACCATTTTATTTTTCAATTAATTGATCTATTGGTCCACATTGTATGGGGTCAGGAGACTTCTGTGCTTCCTAGTGATTATAACTCTCTCCTACCTTGCATAATGGAGAAAGCCCTAATAAACTCTTATTAATGCTCCATTTTTGTCTTGAATTCCTTGTGCGATATTTAAGAAAGTCTTTCAATTGCCATCCTAAAGAAAAGTTTTGTAGCCACATGGAAAAGAATTTCTGGGACAGATCTGTGTACTCATCTCTCTTGGAGGCTGATGTAGCTCTGCCCATCTCAGGGGAGGCTGAGGAACAGTTGTAGATTGCCACCTCTGGTACCTCTAAGCAGGTCCCACCTGGCCTTCAGATTTCACAAACCTATAGCAACCCTAGGAGTCTGGTAGGATTTGGGGTGGAGAGCCTTATAAACAGTGATTACATCTTTGTTGCCAGTGTTAATGATAATGTCAATCAGTTTAGAGGCTGGAGTCAAGTAGAAGTCAGTCCACCCAACACTGATCCATGTCTCAAAGGCTGAGTTGAAATCCACCCATTCTCCTAGATGACCTAGAGAAAACCTTAAATGGACAAACTCAGAACTCTCTCTGGGCACAGAGGATATAGAATAAACAGCGATTTAAATTCCTTTCACTCATTCAACAAACATCTATGAAGCACCTACCATATGCCAGGAAGCCAAGCATCCAAGATGAATGTGATAGTCTCCACTCTCAAAGAACATACAGAGCAAAAACATACATGTAGGGCAAACTCTTAAAGACTGATTTTTTTTAGTAAATATGATGGTGCTGTTAAAAATTCTAATCATACTGGTCTTTGCTTTCAAAAGAATTATCATTTAAATGCTTCTGTTTTTTTTTAATTTATTTATGACTTAATGGAACTGAGGAAGACAGATTTGAAACAGATACTATCTTTCTTTTTGTCCTGGGCCATACTTCCAATTTTTAAAACTCTTTTTCTCCTTCTGTGTGTGTTTGTGTGTGTGTAAGAGAGAGAGAGAACCTGAAACTAACACTGTAAATCAACTACACTTCAATACAAAATTAAACATTTTTTTTAAAAAGAGAGAGAGAGGATTTGTAGTTCATAGAAAGACAAAGAGAACTTCTAAAATGTCCTAATATCTGGGGCGAGATTGAAATAAAGAGTATGTTTTCACATTATGAGGTCTCATCATGAGAATGGACAAGATTAATTTTATGCCAGTTCTTGTATATTCTTTACTCCATGGTATTTGAGAGCTGGCTCCAAGTCCCTTAGAATAAAGGACAAAAATAAGAGAAACCAGTAAGATTCCTCTTCTCCCTAGAGTTCCCAGCACTGGAAAGACCAAGGGAACCCCAGAATTCACAAGGCACTCCCAAGTCCAGCCTCTTACTCCCTGGGTTCTGCGTGCTCACTGAGCCATTTTGGTGAGCCAGAGAGAGTTCCCAGATGCTTGATTGTCAGGGCTTGCCTTAGAGGACCACACTGAGTGGGGCTCTATAGTTTAGGGAGAGATATTAGTGTCTTCTAGAAACTCAGATTCAGTTGTACCAGGGATGGCTCACGTGCTATCAGCAGAGCAGCCTATGAAAGTGATTATACACCTGCTGATTGGGTAGGAGGACACATGACCCTTGGATCTGTCTACCATGTAGTCTCCAAAGGAGACAAAGACTGTGTTGAGTTGGTTGAAGGCTGTGCAAATAAATGCGTGTTCCTGTAATATTAGGATTCATGTGCAGGAATTACAGGGGGATGAGAAGAAAAAAGCCTAGTTGCATTTTGGAACAAAAAGTAAAAATGTAGTATCTGCTTTCCTTTTAAGTGGCTTTAAAAAATGCTCAGATCGTTGTGGTGGTTTTCTTTTTGGCCCACTTGTTAAGTTTTCAAATGGTCCTGACTCTGCCACAGGTATACATAGGAGCTGGCAAAGGCTGAATGACAAAAAGATCTCTTTCTAGCCTTTCCCGAATCAGAGATTGGCTCCTACATGTGGCAGGAAACAAAATGTTTAGGTAGCTAAACTTCAGAAATGTGGAGGGTTCTAAATTGTTTAATTCCCTCCAAATAAAGACTAAATATTCCACGTATACTTACATAGTTTCTATTCATTTTTTTCTTGCGTATGGCCTACACAGTAGACATTTTCCTTCAAGAAGATAAAGAGGTGACAAATCATATTCTTTGCAACTTACTGCTAAATTGAGGAACTGAGCTTCATTTTTGCTAAAGAGGGATGGATGTTTTTGGTATGATAAAACCAAGGAAGTTGTAAGAAACCACCTCAGCTAAAGATTCAAGAATACGAGTGCCATTCTTCTCTAAATAACTCAAAATTCTATTCTTCTATCCTGTTACCTGGCAAATGTGTTCAGCATAATATATGGGAAGACAGCCGTCCCTTCTAAAGGAGCCGGCAGATTTCGTTTCCAAATCCTCAGGCTGCATAGCATTCCCCACCCCCACCCCTCGCCTGAATGTCCAGAAAACATCTCTTTCTGGCAAACAGGAACCCCTTTTCTCACCATGAAGACTTTGCAGCAAAGACTGGTAAAGGGACAAGAAGAAATGGGATACAGTTTTCATCTCGAGCCTTAAATTCTCTGTAGAAAATCAGTCGACTCCACTGTGTGACATCTTGAAAAAACTGTTTCTGTCAGTCAATCAACAGATTTTTATGGAACCCCTACTATGTGCCAGGCTCTATGAGGGGCCCACAGGAGCACTCCTGCCAGGGAATCTTGAGATATGGTGGAAGAAGCAAGGACTTTGGAATTAGATTTATACTACCAACTTACTTTATGAACCAAAGGAAGAGAGGACAGTAATTCAGTGGTACAAAATGATTTTACATAGATTTTAGGAGTAGCAGAAGGGCTGCTAGAAAGAACTAGGCTAGCCACACTATTTTCTACCAGGGTACTTGAGGGGACCCCTGTTTTAATGAATAAATAAAAGTGATGTGTAATTATCATATCAATTGCTTGCATCTAAGTGAGTGCCTCTGGAGTTACTTGATGGTGCTTAAAAATCTCTGGTCTCTGAAGTGCTTTAATGTCTCCTTGACTCTTATCTATATTATTAATTTGCAGATCAAAGTTAACTTGGTGCTATGCAAATGAAGAAACTTCAGATGAATGGGATTTTATGGTAAAATTTTAAATCCATATTACTTGTAACAAAACTGCAATATATTTTGAGTAAACGTGTCAACATATCTAAAAGAGACATTATGGCTTAAAGCAGCATTAATCCAATAGAACCTTCTGCAATGATGGAATATTCTTTATCTGCACTGTCCAAAGAAGGTAGCCACTAGCTACATGTGACTATTGAGCACTTGAAATGTGGCTAGTGTGATTGAGGAACTAAACTTCCTCACAGCATTTGGGGTAAGAGAAATTGAGATAACGTTCAGATATTCTCCTATTTCCACATAAGTCTCAATCAAGTAGCAAAGTTAAATATGCAGAAAGTGAATAACCAACTCTTTCATATAAATGGAGTTTCCATCCTGCAATTAAAAATATAGTTGACCCTTAATAACATGGGATTGAATTGTGCAGGTCCATTTACACACAGATTTTTTTTTCCAGTAGTGAATACCACAGTAATACACCATCTGTGTTGAATCCTCAGATACAGAGGGCTAAATTATACTCGAATTTTTGACTGTGCAGAGTGACAGCCCTCTGTATTGGTCAAGGGTCAAATGTATTATCAAATTCATAATTATCCCCTCTGTTCAGATATAATATTTAATGACAATGCTTATACCTCTTAGCTGGTAAACAGCATCATTAGCCATGGCCAGAAATGGTCATGTGTCAGCTTGGGGGTATCAATGTATAGTGCCCAAAAGTGTTAGCAATCAGAAAGTTAAATTTACAGAAACTGAGATTAGCTTTTGTATGAAAAGTACATTGAGAACAGAAAAGCATGATTAAAATGTTAATGTGATCACTTATTTATCATTGTTACAATTAATAATGTAAATAATCTTGCTTGCCCAAGGAGATTAAATATTGAACTAGGAGAAAATGAGGGACAACTCAGCAGAACAGGCTAGCAGTTAGGAGTCTGAGTACTTTCGTTGAATATAATCATGTGAAATAAGGCATATAAAGTACTTAGGACAGGGTATGCCACCTACCAAGAACTAAAAATGCCGGCTACTATTATGATAACAAGTGACGCTATTAAAAGATCTATGAGGTTAGAAGCCTTTGGCTAATTTTCAGCTGACAAAAGGTATGGGAGTACAGAGTGATATTTGTACAGATTTAATTCTACATCATTGTACATAGAAAGATCAATTCAATTTTCTGTATCTGCCCCAGTTGAGAACTGAATGTGGTTGTTTCGATACCACTTCAAATCTATTCTTAGAAAGAGGCATGAATGAGTGAATGAATGAATGAATAACTAAAATGCCTCCTGATTCCCCCATTAACTCAATAAAATGAGATGGCAAAACTCATGAGTCTTCAATATACAAATTTCTCCAAACCTGAGATAATATGGAGGTGAAAGGGGAACACACCAATGGAGGGAAATGGTCTACCAGTCATGTAGGTCTAGTCCCTGGTAGATATGGACCCAGATCATTTCCTGAGGCATATGGTGCTTTAACCAGCCATCCACAGCCACCACTCTCTGAGAAGTAGGGTGAAACCACCTTCACTATGAAGCAGAGAGATTACATCATGGCTAGTCCTAATCTCTTCTTCACATCATCTGGGATCCTTCTTACTATTTTGTCCCACTGCCTGAACATTTTCCATCTAGGACTCATTTGGTTTAACAAAGCTCCACTAAAATGCACATTCCTCTAGGCACCCCCTACCGAAATAAATAAATAAATAAATAAATAAATAAATAAATAAATAAATGAATAAATGAAAGACCGTAGAAGGTAGTATGATTTATATGATAGTTGCATTGCATGGAATCTGGAAATGGGTGTTCTAATCAGGATTTTGTGACTCCTCTACTAGGAGAGTGTCTCATTTTATAGGATAATGAACACTTTGTTAAAACATTTCTCCAATGCCCTCAGGCTCCCATAGCATCATTCTTGGCCTTGAACTACCTACCTATATTTGCTCATAGGGATTTGACCTTTCTTTTTTTTAGAAAGAGAATTTGTTCCTGGCATCCAACTCTGTCCAGGGTGCTTGCATCCTCAGTAAGGGGATAAAGAACCATTAGCCACAGTTTTTCTTTTTTATCACCTTAAGATGGAGAGGATAATATTTCTATTTTGAGTGTGAATTCTCTTAATTATCACAGGTCTGTTACACTCGCAGATATATAGGACTTAACTTTCTGAACCTACTTCGATCATCAAAGAGGCAAAAATCAATAAGAAAGCATGGACATTACCTCGCGCCAGAATTTTGGAGTGCAGTTGTCCCTGGTGTCGTCTTCCATGGTGCATTCCTGGCGGCCCACCATGTCTGCCCCAATGTGCTGGCCCTCTTATCTAGAGTCCTCTCTCTTTCCTCTGGAGTTCTCTTGAGTCACTGGGTGAAATTTTTCCTTCTCTGGATTTAAGGCAGCACTTGACTGAAAGGTTAAGCTTAAAGATAAGCTTGGAGGAGCTAGTTGTAGCCCAGTGATTGAATAAGCAGAGATCCCAGTCGCCGGGCACTCTTGCTTTCTTTACCACAAGCCTCCTCTTGTCCCCTCTGGGCTGTTGTTCATTGACAATTGCTGTGCTCTGGACTGGCACGATGACAGCCTGTTGTGTGGGGACAGGCAGGTTGGTGAAAGCTGCACTCGTGAAAAAGGCCATTGTTTAATCTACCCCGTCCCTCACTGGAGCTATGGCAACAAATTCCGTTGGTGAATTAACTATGTCATTGTGTGCCGGCTGGACTGATTATGCCCCTGGAATGACAAACATTTTCCCTCTTTTTTTTCAAGATAAAAAGTGGTCAAGACCTTGAAGTGTTAATATACAACTCAGCACTTTTCTTTAAATAGGAGAATAAAGATAGAGAAAATAAATCGCTCAAACTTACTTAGAGTCTAATAAACATTTTACCTCTTCCAAGCAGCTATTCTAAGCACCATTGGCAATGAATTTGTGTATTTTAACAATGTTGAATCTTCACAATGAGTGTTAAGGTAATTTCCCCTCAGATAAAGCTGTGTGTTACAAGAACTCTTTAAATGCACATGTGCTTGAGGCTTTCCCTGAAACACAAATTCCTTTAAAATCTGGCTGCAGCAAAGTGCTATGGGAACTTTGGCTGCTGACTGTTAATGTAAGTATTATATTTCAGTTCCAAAAAACTGCTGTCCATCTAAAGTCCCCTTAATCATATAAAGATTTCCTATGTCCCATCCTGGCAGGAAAACTTAGTCACTTTCTTACATATTCCATCTTCCGGATGGTAAAACTTGCTCTGATTAGTTGAAGGCATCCCTTCAAGCTTTCCGTCCATCCATCATTCCATCCATCCACCCACTCATCCATCCTGCACTTTCTCTGGCCAGCTGCTGTGCCGGTTGCAGGGGAGCTATGTCAGTGAATTTGCTGCTAGTTTCCTAGCATGGTAGTACGTACTGTGCTGATTTGGTGAGCTGGAATCACATTTCCAAGGATCCCCTCCTTTACAGCTCTGGGTTAGAGTTGACCAGAAGAGGAATTTGCACAAGGTTTGGAAGGCAGGAGTGAAGCAGTGTGAAGGTACAGAGAGTGGTTGGGTGTGGTGATGAACAGAGGGCAGGTGACAGTGGGTGTCAGCTTGTCCTCACTCTCTTCGCTCTGAGTCCAGCTGTTTTGTTTTTTGTATGTGTTTGTCTTTTTCTTAAATGGCAAGGGAGGTAATTTAAGGTTTATTTATTTTTTTAAACAGAGATACTGGGAATTGAACCCAGGACCTTGCGCATGCTAGGTATGCAGTCTACCACTGAGCTATACCCTCCCCACTTCTTCCCAACTGCTGACACTGTTGACCAACAGCAGCCCTGGACCACCATCAGA